CGTGCCAGAGGGCACGGTGGCGTCTCGCTGGGCGTCCTCCGCTCGCTGCACGGCCCCGCCGCCCTGGCGGCGCCGGACAACGCGCCCGCCGCCCTGCCCGCACCGGACGCCGAGCGGAAAGACCTGGAGGAGGAGGGGCCGCGGGCGGCCAGGCTCGTTGCTCGTTTCTCCTCCTCCTCCTCCTCCTCCTCCTCCTCCTCCTCCTCCTGCTCCTCCTCCTCTGACTGACTAAAGATATGTGGACTCCAGGAGTGCCACCCACCAGTCTTGCCGCCTCTCCCCGGCTAAGCCCAGGGGGGAGGCGGGTGTTAGACGACAGAGAAACAATACGGCGTAAGAGGAATCAGTTCCCAGCAGGCATCCTCGAATCCCCCTCCCTCCCGTTCATGAAGCCAGACCCCCACCATCCACATACAATCGGCCCAGATTAGTAGGTCGACCCTGCTAGCTCAAGGGTACCCTTGTGTCCTGTGCCTCGCGACACGTGCCTTCTTACACCCCTATGGCGATGTGGCCTTCGGAAGGGTCTTGTGTCCTCTCGCGTGTCCTCCCCAATCGAGTCCGACTGTAGAAGCGGTACGCCTCGCGCCGCCGCCCCGCCTCGTGGCGGCGCGCAGCGGTGGGCCCCGGGGACGCGGCGGCCGCCGGCCAGCGAGGGCATCCCGCCCAGATGGTACACTTGGTCGTCCACACAAATCCTGACCTATCCACCCTCATCCTCCGCCTCCTCCTCCTCCTCCCTCTCCTCCTCCTCCTCCTTCCTCCTCCTCCTTCCCCTTGCTCCTCCTCCTCCCTCCTCTCTTCCCTCCTCCTCCTCCTCCCCCTCCCTTTCTTCTTCTTCTCCTCCTCCTCCTCCTCCTCCTCCTCCTCCTCCTCCTCCCCCTCCTCCTTCTTCTCCTCCTCCTCCTCATAGACATCTTACACATTGAGACTGCAGCACGGAGGCGTTTCTCGATTTTCGGTTTCGGAGGGCCACCGCCAGAGCCCGGGGGTCGTCAAAGACGACTCAGGAAGAAAAGCTCGCCCCGGGGAGAGGGTAGGGTCTTCCAGATCCCGAATTGCAATATCCAGATGTCGGATGTTTGGGCCTATTATTGTCCTCGTTCTCTTCTCTTTTGCAGGCCTTCCAGATGGGATCCGAGTAGATTAGGTCGGAGGGTCGCGCCGCATCGCCGATGCATCGGCGATGCGGCTCGGTGTGGGGCCTGATTTGCTCCACGCCGATTCATCGTCGACGTCGCCGATGCATCGCCGATGCAACGCGGCGCGGCCCGCTTGTCCCATCTACTCGGACCCCATTTAGAATGCCTCTGTCTTCGATCTCCACGTTCCCGAACTAGCTTGCCGCGTGCACAAATAAGGTCACCCCGCCCGAGTCTGACCTTTTCTTTCTCTGTCTGCGATGTACATATCGCCACACGGACGCTTCGGTTCATTCCAACCCTAGTCCGAGCAACGCAAAAGCGCGGGCCAGGCCGTGGCGTGCCGACAGGGACATGGAGGTCCGCAAGTGGGAGGAGATGCTCGCGGTTGAGGGAGAAGAACGGCTGCACGAACACAGATTGTCGGAGCTCCGCGCGGAGTTCCCGGGATCGCCGCTGGACCCACCTGGCGGCTCCTCTGGCCCCCCTCCCCAGCGCGCCCCGCGCGCCAGGGAGGGGGGCCCAGCGCCGATCCAGGAAATGCGCGCGGCTCTCCGAAAGTTTCCAGACAGCCAGCGTCTTGACATGTCCAGCACGAGGTCCGCAGAAGTCCCCCACCCACTCTCCCGTGGCCAGCGCTGCACCCCGCGCCGCGTCTGCTTCGGCCCAGGGCCTGGCGAGGACCTCCGGAGGCCGATCACGGGGACAGCAATCTGTTTGTGCAGATGTTCAGGAGGGGAAAAAACACACAGACACAAGTAGTCGTCGATTCCCAGGAAAATGTGAGAAGTTATGGGAAGTGGGGGGCGGGAGACAAAAACCCAGAAAATGTGAAGAAAGATTGGGAATCTTGGGATTTGTGTACATTTATTTGTGTGTCTCTGGGCCCCTTGAGACGTATCTTCCTCCAGGTTGGCATCCCGATGTTCATGCGCCACCACCCAGTGACGTTCCAGAGGCGGCTCCACCGCGGCGTGCCCCCGACTCTGCGGTGGCAGATCTGGAAGGACGCCTGCGGGTACGACTGGCGCGGGCCGGTGGAGCAGTACGACGAGCTGTGCGGGGACCTCGGGGGCAACACTTCGGGGGGTAGGCTTAAGTCGGGCCTGTCCCTCTGGAGGAGGAATCGTCAAAAATAGGAAAAAGTAGTCTGGGGACGTTTTTTTAAAGCATTTTTGAATATTCTTGCGCATGTGTGTCGTATGTTGAACTTTTCCTCCAAAATCCGCCCGAAGGAGGACACGCCCGACCTAAGGGCAGGCTCACGGGGGGGAACGCATCGACACCGATCGCCGACAGGTGCCCCACAGCCCTCCCCGCCCAGGAGCGCGCGGATTCGCTCTCAGAGGCCTGTTTGCCGATCTTTCGGCGAGGCACCGCCGATTCCAGGTCGATGGTCCCCCCTCTGGGCCAAAACCACCCTGACGCGGCCCCTCAGGACAGCCAGTGGAGCCCGCTGATCGCCCTGGACATCGGCAGGACCTTCTCCGAGCTCCCAGAGTTCGGCGAGTCGCGCCAGCAGTCGCTCCGCCGCGTGCTCAACGCCTACGCGAACCACAGCCCCACCGTGGGCTACTGTCAGGCTTATGATGTTCCAACCTACCTTTGCCTTGGCCACCAGAAAGAATTTCGAGCACCAAGAAAGTACCGAAACTTGATGGTTTTCAAACTTGATGGTTTTCACGTGTCGGGCCCTTGGAGGCGATACTCGTTCGACACTGTTTCGATATTGTTCTGGGTGTTCGAAATTATGTTTGGGATGTGGTCCTTAAGTACGATGGGGGCAACATAATGCAACAGAATGCCAGGGCATGAACTTCATCGCGGGGCTGCTGCTCCTCGTCTCCGGCAGCGAGCGCGAGACCTTCGGGGTCTTCGTGCGGCTGATGGACCACGACGGGTTGGCCGGCTTCTACAGGGAGGACATGCCCCTGCTGCGGACGTACGTGAAGGCTCGCGTTTAAGTCGGGACTGTCCCTCTACAGGAGGAATATGTTGAATATGTTCGACTATGTGATGCTATCTTTGAATATGTTTTGACTATGTCTGCGGTTGCGCCCAAAATTCGCCTGTAGGAGGACATGCCCGACCTAAGTGAAGGCCTGCGACCGGCTGGTGGCGGAGCAATTGCCCGAGCTGCGGGAGCACTTCCTCCGGGAGAGCGTCCCCCTTGCGCTGTATCTGCACCAGTGGTTCTTGACGCTGTTCATCAAGAGCTTCCCGCTGGCCACGGTGCTGGTGCTCTGGGACGTCATCATCTGCGGCGGCCTGCCGGGGATCCTCACCATCGCCGTGACGATCCTGCGCGTGCTGAAGGACGGCCTGCTGAACCTGCAGTTCGAGGAAATCAACTCGATCTTCAAGGCGATGAAGGAGCAGAAGAGCGGCGAGTTCCTCTCCTACCGCATCGGCCAGCTCCTGATGAGGGAGTCGACCGCGGTGGGGCTGCCGGAGCACATCCAGGAGCGGGTGCTGCCAACGGTGCCCTGGCCCCAGGCGTCCCCAGCTCTTGTGCATCATGCTGGGGCCCCCGGGGCCCTCGGGGCCGCGTGGGGCGTGCTCTGGAGGGCATTTGCGCCCGCCTAGGAAAGCTGGGTTCGGTAGCAAATCATAGGCGCCTTGTGTACCCTCGCAATTCTGTTTCTAGCGTCGATCAGCGCCGACTCAACGTCGATTCGCAAGCGCCGACAAGATGGGTATGGAAGGCTCCCATGAGCCGCCACCGAGGCTGGGGCCGCCTCGGGCAGGCGCCGCTCCTGGCGGCACCCGCCCAGGAGTACCTCCGGAGCAAGCCCGAGGCGGAGGCGCGCGAGGGGCCGCTCGAGGACGACGAGGACGAGGAGCACTGGTCGGCGCTGGCCGCGCGCCACGACACGCCGAGGCGGCGCCGCCCCGGGGCCACTCGGAAGCACCGGCTCGCGGCCAGCGCGGCCAGGCAGGCGCCACAGGTCAGGGGCCAACGACGGGGGGGAGGAGGAGGAGGAGGAGGGGGAGGGGGAGGAGGAGGAGGAGGAGGAGGAGGAGGAGGAGGGGGGAGGAGGAGGAGGAGGAGGAGGAGGAGGAGGAGGAGGAGGAGGAGGAGGAGGAGGAGGAGGAGGAGGGGGAGGAGGAGGAGGAGGAGGAGGGGCGCGCATCAAGAAACCATCTGCTTGTCGTCAGGGCATCCTGGGCTTCTTTGCTCCGCGCGCTGCGCGGTGACTTCCCGCAGCCGTTGAAGCAGCTGCTGCGTTCAGGGCGCTCTGGGCTCACCCTCAGGTGCACCTCGCGCACGGGGTTTCAGGGTTGGGTTTCTTGCGAGGGTTTCTTGCGGCCGCGCCCGCACTGTAGGCGTGGGCTTAAGTCGGGCATGTCACGGTGTTTTTGAGCATGTGTTGGCTATTTGGGGGGAATTTTCTGTATGTATTATTTTTCGCCCAAAATCCGCCTGTAGGGGGACATGCCCGACCTAAGCGTAGGGTGGGACACATCGACCCCCAATCGCCCATGGATCGCCGACAGGGGCCTGGTAGCCCCAGCCTGCCCAGGAACGTGCGGATCCACTATCGGTGGCCTGTCGCCGATATATCGGCGATGCATCGCCGATTCCAGGTCGATGCTCCCCGCCCCTTGGCCCAGCCCCCCCCCGTCGGTGCCCCTCGACAGGAGAAGTGCGACTGGGCCGAACGGGGGTGCACTTTGGCGGAGAGGGAGCTGGCCTGCCTCGTCCTCGACGACCTGAAGATCGAGACCCTCGAGCCCGAGCCGGACCCCGTGGCGAGGAACCTCGCCGCCGCCCTGGCCGCGGCCGGCGTTTGCCTCGACGACGCGTCCCTCAGCGCGGACGACGCCCTGTACCTGGGCGTGGCCCCGAGGGCCTGA